ATTATCTTGTTGCTCTACTTGTAGACCATGTGTATTGTCGTAGTATACGTGTAACTGTGATAGTGCAGTGAATGCTGCGTGTTCAGCCAGCAGAGGGCGCAGTTGTTAATTACCTTTTGACATATAATGACCTGCTAAGCTTCTATGCTATCCAGCTGTTAGCTTGTTGTGTTTTAGTGTTTCTGCCTCTGATGTATAGATAATGTTACAAAATGTCTAAGAATTTGAAGTAACCTTATTGTTTAAGACGTGAATTTAATTCCTCTTTATGTTCTGCTTTTTGTAGAACACACACACACACACACACACACACACACACACACACACACAAACACACACACACACACACACACACACACACACAACACACACACACACACACACACACACACACACACACACACAAACACACACACACACACACACACACACACACACACACAAACACACACACACACACACACACACACACACACACACACACACACACACACACACACACACACACACACAAACACACACACACACACACACACACAGCTGCAAGAGTTTCTGCAATAAGATTTGAAAGTACCTGCCTCCTGGGTCCTGACAGAGATAGTCTGATTCCTCAAATCCTCTACAGACTCAGTTTGTGGACTATTTGCTCACTTGCTCAGTTTTTTGCACTTTTATCCATGACAGCGCTTGCACTGGCTTTTCTCTGTCACCAGGTGGAAGGCCACCATGGCGGCTCCAGGAGTCGCGACACTCTCAGCCGTGAGCTTCTTCTTTCACTGCGGTACTCCACTAAAGGAGATGAAACATGGTTTACTGAAACATGGCTCAGTGAACAGGACCGGGATCAGGACCTCGTTATCAGTGGGTTTGGCAGCTTCGGCTGGACCGGTCACTGGAGAGGCGATGTGTGTCTTTACATCTATCAGAGGAACTGTTACACTGTTGTGATTCCACTAAAGCTAGTACTCACTCCGTCCTTACGACTTGCCTCGTTAATTTCAACAACTTTTCTTAAAGCTTGTTTACATTCATCGCCAGCTGCACAGCTGATCGCTGATGATTCACACAGACTGGATTCTATCTGCCCGGATGCCCTGAAGTAAAAAACCACGATTGATCTGTGTTCGGGTTCTGTGTGCAGCGCATATAAGTCCATGCCTTCTCTTGGTGCGTCATACCATGACAAACCCTCCTTCAGACGAGTGTGAAGAGAAGGAGGTCGGAGGTCAGCATCTCATCTCTCCAGCCACTGACTGCCATTGTCTTTACAATGCTTGTGTAGATATCAATGAACTTTGTGACACTGTCTCCTCATTTATCTCTTTCTGTGTACTCTGTCATCCCCTCAAAAAGGTTGATATTTATCCAAAGAATAAACCATGGGTAACTAAAGAGCTTAAAGAAGTGATCAACAAGAAGAAAAGGACTTAGGTGATCTTCTGGAGAAAACATGTGTCTCCAGAAAAGTGAGGAAGGAAATAGCAAAGGCCAAAACAAAGTATAAGAATAAAATAGAAATGCAATTTGGAGGTGGGAACATCAGAGCAGCCTGGCAGGGAATGAAATCAATGACCTCCATCGACCAGAACAGAAGTCAGGTCAAGAAGCTCATCAGAATCAATGGGCTGGATGATACTGATTTGTCAAACACTGTGCCGACCAGCTCAATGGAGTTTTTTCTAAACTTTTTCAGTTGTGTGCTGATTGTTTCCAGCTTCCTTCAGTCTGGAAGACATCAACCATAATCCTGATTCCTAAATCAAAGAATCCGAGAGAACGAAACGAGTATAGACCTGTTGCTCTTGAAAGGAGATTGAGGTTGTACACTGTTACAAATACCTTGGTATATTGATTGATGACTCCCTTAATTTTAAACCACATGTACTGTGTCTGGTGAAAAGGCTGAGGCTAAAACTGGGTTTTTGTTTTAGAAACAAGTTGTGTTTTTCTTTTAATGTAAAAAAGCGTCTTGTCGCTGCAACTTTTTTACCTATTTTAGATTATGGTGATCTTTTGTACATGAGCTCTGAGCTCTGCTCAGCTTCTCCATATGGTTGATACGGCCTACCATGCATCCTTGTGGTTCATTACAAATTGTACAGCTCTGACTCACCATTGTGAGTTGTACTCTCGGGTTGGATGGCCCGCTTTGGCAACCCGTAGGCTCATACACTGGTACACCTTTATATATAAGGCAATTCTTGGTCTGCTTCCTCTCTATCTATGTATTTTCATCATGCAGACAAGTGCCGGACAGGAAAAGGGCTTTTGGGTACTCTGCACCTTCAGCCTGGAATCTGCTGCAGAGTGACTTAAAGCTCAAGGAGCTGGTGTCCTTAAATGTTTTTAAATCTTAAATGAAAGACATGGAAGCAGATTCTATAGGATGTCATAGGATGTGTTTTAGCTCGGCTGTTTGAACAACTGATTCCCAGATATGACTCATAAATGGTTCTATTTTAATCCAAAATGTTGTTTTTTGTAAATTGTATTATGTCTC